GTATGTGTGTGTGTGTATATATCAACCTATCTATTTATCTGTGTAAACTCTGTGTATATGTGATTGTGCTTTCCAGATAATTTTCATGCCAGTTTGCCTTCTTTAGGCAGGAACTTAAATTGCTGTAAAATGCTGCCATTCGAAAGAGTGCCACTGTCATTTCACTTCAAAAGGCAATAGCAATAACAATGGGAGCAAGACCTTTCTCTAACTGTAGCAACAGAGCATCCACTGACTGCTAATGTCACAGGTAGATGAACAGGATCCCAAATATTTTTGATGCTGCTTACATTGTTAGTAAAATTGAAATATTTGCATTATTTTATACTTCACTGGGGTTTTATTGATGTTGCATTGTGAATTGAGCAAAAAGTTTAAAAAAGCTGTTGTGGTTTGTGTTTTAGGAGAATTCATAGTCTAAAAGATGAAAGAAAATGAGTAACTTCTTTAAAAAAAGAAAGAAAAAAGGTCAGGGGCTGTTCTGGGAAAGGTTGCAAATTAAAATGGGCAGGTATCTGTGCTAGGGAGGCTGTTTGTACAAGCACTGTCTAATCTGTTTCATAACTGAAATAGTTTATATCACACATTTTGCTACCCCAGTTCCAAGTGAGGCAAACTAAGTGGTGCTTCTGGGAATAGCTTTGTTTTCAGTGGCAGAGTAAATAGCTTCACAGCTGGATTCCCATTCTCCTCAGCTTTCCTCTCTTTCCCTCCCTTCTCTTGTTCTTTACTGGCAGAAGATACATTATCAGTGATGTATTTTTTCACTTATCCACTGCAGCTCGAAGACTCTGGGTAGGGGTGGAGTGGACAGAAATGATGTTGCTGTCCCAAAGCCTTGGGTGGCTTTGACCTTTGGCAAGCTGTTTGCCCCCAGGAGTGCTGCTGTCAGCCTGCCAGGGTCATATCATTTATTACAAGGCATGGCCTGCTGAAATCCTTTTCCAATGAAGCAGATGTTCTGATGGTGGCAGCCTGGCATCCCACTGGCTTACTGCAAGTCAGCAAAAACAACCAGGGCCTTGCTTAGCATTGCATAAAATTATTTTGAGCCGCAAAGACCACTTGGTGTACATTAAATGACTGATGAACACAGAGCTCAGTTATGCTGGGCCTCTAAGCCTGTATTTGCATTTTTTGCTGAACAGCAGCTTGAAAACTCAGTCAGACTTTGTGAAAAGGCTTGAAATGGGGATTTGAGGTCACACATTCAATTCATTTCCACATGGTTCGATAAATGTTTGGAATTAGGGGGAGAGAGATTCAGATCCAGCTCCTCTTTAGCAAGGTAGCAGGTCCCTGGCATTCAGTTAGGAAAGGCTGCTTTAAGGTGATAAACAGATATGCTTTTCTAGATCACACTGTTGAAGCAACACTATTACTGTGGGACTCTTACAGAAAAATTCCTATGAGTACCTTAGTTCTAAACTAGCTCAAACCACTTCCAGTGGTAATTTTAACTCAGCTGGAAAGCCATCTTTAATGGAATATAGAGAATGTATATATGTTCCTTCTATGCAGCAGTAATAGGTAATAATTGCTAGGAAGGAATAGAATAAAAAGTAGAATAAAAGAATCCCAGAGAGACTTCAGCACAGCTGTACACAGAGTAGATGACTCTCCAAAACCTGACTAATTATTATCATTGCAATTACCATTACCTGAGTAATGATATTACCATCCTGAAGTAAACTGAAGACATTTTGAATGTCCTGAGTTGGAATGGACCCATCAGAATCATCAAATCCAGCTCCTGGCCCTGCACAGGACAACCCAAAGAATCACACCATGCCTGAGAATGTTGTCCAAATAATTTTTTAACTGCATGACCCTGGGAAAAGCCTCTCTTCACTTTCTTGTAGGCTTCTACTGGAAGGCTATAATTAGGTTCCTCTGGATGGCATCCCATTACTGAGCTGTGTCAACTGCGCCACTCAGTTTGGTGTCTTCTGTAATTTTGCAGAGGATGCACTTAGTACTTTCATCTACATCATTAATGAAGACATTAAATAGCAAAGGTTCCAATAGGGATCCCTGAGTGACATCACTGGTCACAGATGTCCATTGAGACTCTGAGTCACTGACTATCACCCTCTGAATGTGACTGTCCAACCAATTCCTTATCCACCTAACAGTCCACCCATCAAATCCATCCCTCTCCAGTTTGGAGAGAAGGATGTTGTGGGGAACTATGTCCAAGACAATTACAGATAAATGACATCTGTAGCCTTAACCACTTCTCTGGGGAGCCTTCTCCACTGGTGTTGTCACCCCATCATAGAAGACCACTGAGTAGCTCAAGCAGGACTTGTCCTTGGTGGATCTGTGCTGGCTGTATCAAATCATCTCCCTGTCCTCCATGTGCCCCAGCATGGCTTCTAGGAGGATCTGTTCCATGATCTTCACAGGCACAGAGGTGAGGCTGACAGGTCAGTAGTGCCCAGAGTCCTACTTCCTACATTTTTAAAGGGAGGTACTATGTTTCCCTTTTTCCAGTCACCTGGGACTTCACCTGACTGCCAGAATTTTTCAAATATGATGGAGAGTGGCTTGGCAACTACATCAGCCAATTCCCTCAGGACTCTGGGATATGTCTCTTCAGGTCCTGTAGACTTATGTAGATTCAGGTTCCTTAGATAGTCAGGAATCCTGCTGTTACTTACAGTGGGAAGTACTTTGTCTCCCAGTCCTCATCCTGCTCTCCATCCACTCAAGAGGAGTGGGAAGAGAGGTTGACAAAAAGACTGAGGTAAAAAAGGTGTTGAGTACCTCAGCCCTCTCCTCATCCATCCATTGTTACTAGTGTTCCACCACTGTTTACTGGGGGGGATGCACCTTCTTTGACCTTCCTTTTCTGGATAACAGACCTGTGGAAGCCCTTTCTGTAATTTCTTGCATCCCTTGCCAGGTTCAGCTTCCCTTGGCCTTCCTCAGCTGTATTTCAGCTCTGTACTCTTCCCAGGTTTCCTGTCCTTGTTTCCACTGCCTGTGCATTTACTTCTTTCTCTTTAATTTGACCAGCACTTCCCTACTCAGCCATGCCCATCTCTTGTTTTCCCTGCCTGATTTTTTGCTCCTGGGGATTGCCAGCTCTTGTGCTCTATGGAAGACTTCCTTGAGGATCTGCCAACTATGCTCTGCTCCCCTGTCCATGAGGGCAGCTTCACAAGGGATCCCACTGATTATCTCTAAGCAACCTGCTGCTGCTGAAGGATGCCTGTTGTAAAGTCAGAACACCTTTCTGAGCAAGAGGGAGATCTGCAGAGAGCCAGAAAGCCACCTTTTAGATTGGTGAGGGCGCAAATTATCTCTGTGGATTTCTGCACTGACTGAACTGTCATCAGTGAGTGTGGGGGCTGAATTTGTCCAAGAAAGAGACCTCATAGTTTACAGTGATGGCATTTAACCCTAAAGGCATTCTCATCAGTCAGCCTGCCCACATGGATGCTGGGAAATCATCTTTTTTAGACAACAGCAGAGTCAAAGCTGGAACTTTCAAAGCTGGTGTACTTCAATGAAAGTCAGTGAAAAATTGGCCAGAGTACAAATACCCGTTTGTCACATCCCTTGCAAATATACTTTAATTGTTTTCATCCTTAAATGCCCAGAACCAGCCATATTAAATGTAAATGTCACGCTGCCTGGAGATTTCCAAAAACAAAAAAGCTCTCTGCGGCATGTGGTGAGTTATTGCCAGTTTCTGATGTCTGCAGAACCACAAAAGGGCAAGGACCAGTAGGAGGACAAATCAATCACATCTGGCTAGAGTATTCCAGAATTAAAAAATGAAATATGTTTATCTGTGACGACTCATTTAATGAATGTGTGCTATTTAGATTTTCAGGGGGTTGTTCAAGTAGGTAAGCATTGCCACTAAGCATTGACTCCTCCTTTGTGATTTGTTTGTAGACCTTTTAGTTCTGTTTATATTTTTAGTACATACTAGTGTATGTGATTGATCTCTTCTTCCCAAAAATATGACACTGAAGGAAATTATTTTCTCTGCAGTGATCTATTCCTGTACCCTAATGGCAAACAGTCCTGGATATCTCTTCTACAGTGTCTCAATTCTTCATTCACTGTTCCCTTTGTAAACATTTTGCATGTTGTATCTGAGAGACCACTGCTCTCTCACAGTTTTTGGCTCTAGATGTTTGTGGAAAAGGTGTTTCTTTTCTGCTGTTATATCAAGTTCCATAGAGGATGAAAATCTGGTGGATGTCATCACTGACTTTTGTTGTGTGTTGTAAAAACTTACATTTTGGCTGTAAGTTGTCTATGGCATCCTGATGTGTAATTAATAAGCCATTAACAACTGACTGTAGTGAGTGTGCCATGGAACTATTAATTTTAGACATGCACACCAATTACACATCACTAAGCAAAGCTGTTGTTTTTAGGTGAGTTGAGAAATACAAATTTTTGATAGATGATTCTATGTCTTGCCATAGAAGCAGCTGTGACTTCTTTGGGGCTGTAAATTCATATGGCAGGGGGGAGTCAAGCCAAGTCAAGGGGAAGAAAAAAGAGAAAGTGGCAGAATAGCAATGAGAGATTCCATTCAGGATTAGAAGCATGTTTTGGAGAAAAGGTAGATAGCATCAAAATAGGCAAAGATATGAATACAGAGATTGAGAAAATGAGAATGGGGGTGTTTTAGGTAGACCGGTGACATCTTCCGTTTTGAAGAACTGAATTGAGACCAAAATTTCTGTCTTGTTATTTCTCTCTTGTTATTTCTGTTTGTTATGTCCCTCATTTTCCACTGCTGTCCAGGCATTATAACCTACTTCTGCTGTCAGTAAACTGGAATGCTCAAGTGATGCATCCAGGTGTCCGTAGGATCTGCCTAGGTATTTATCCAACAGCAAAAGATGGTGTTAGACATTTGATTTGAAAACAACTTGCACTCCTATGGATATAAATTCAAGACTGAAACTAAGGAAAAACCAGAAACAGAGAAATAAAATTAATTAGTGTTTGGATGTCATGATACTTACAGATTTGAGACACTGGCATCACTCAGCTCCCAGGTGTGTTCTCTAGGAATGAATCTGCAGTCACAGTAGACAGTGCAGATATGTACAACCTCAGCTTTTCCCCCTGCAGGAACAGACACACTTGGGAGGAATAAGGTGAAGCACTGCTGATTTTCTTGTGGTTCAGGCAGTTGATTGTCTGGAGTGTTTACTCTATGCAGGTACTTTATCTACTTGCAAGTTAGCTATTCATTTCTCTTAGCACTCAAGCTGCTTTTTCAGCACTCTGACATTCCTGAGAGCTCTGCCTTGGTTCTGTAAGGCACAGGATACTCCAAAATGAAAGCTGTACTATCATCTTTAAGATACTACATAAGATGTTAATATGTCTGTGTCATTGCTCTTGAACAGTTTCACATGTGCCAATGGTATCATCAATTCTGTCATAATGAGCAACACAAACCTTTGAGGAATTCAGCATGCATGCATTCAATGCAGTTTATGCAGTAAATAAGGCATAAGGGCACCATGATTAATCAGAACTCAGAGGGTGTCAGTTAAGAGAGTACTGTTTGCCAAAATGAGTCTGCCCTGCTTGGTTAATGGGACTGTGTAATTAAAGGAAGAAGGCCAAAGAAACTGCATTAAAATTGCACAGGCAAACATTAATTCTGTCATCCCCTTGCTCTCAAGTCCATGACTTTGCAGCCTCAGCATTTCTTAAGAGTTGTCTTCCATGTGTATTATTTCCAGGTCAATGTGGATTCATATACAATTAACAAGTAGCATGTCCTATCTATAGAAGTTTAGGTCAGCATGTGGCAACAGACTTTCCTGTTATTTACATTTTGAAGCTTTTCCTTGTATTTAATATGAAAAAAACCTAAATCTTCCAAAAATTTCAAGTACTTTTAGTATATATTAAGTGGCAATTCATGTCATTAACCAAACAGTAAATGCAAATAAAAGGAGATGGAATGAATGTCAAGAGATCCTACAATCTGTATAGCTTTCCTATGGCATCACTCCTGAAAAACCTGAAAAAGGCGCCTCTTTTATGATATTTCAGTTTAACTCTGGGGATTCCTTTTTAACAGCATCTTAAGAAACTCTGCTCCAATTAATGTTTTTTTCTGTATTCTGCAGATACAGTATGTGATAAATATATTCTCAAGCTGTTAAGCATTATAACACAGCATTTATCATCTAATTGCCAATAAGAAATCTCAGAATTGTACATTTAAGTTTCCCAAGCATGGGGCATAGCTGTAATTTACTGAGGCACCAGCAATACCACTGTATCACTGCTGATTGACAGGCCACTTAATGATGCTGTTTATAAGGCAATTTTCTAATCAGCTTCATGAACACTCATCAGGAGCTTGCTTCTTGATTTAAAGCAGAATTGGAGAGATAGCATTTGTTTTGCTTATAAAAACACACTGGGAAAAAAAAGCAAATTAAAAAGAGAAATGACACAAATATAGAAAGCTTTGATTTTGTGAATCTGGATTATGCTTTCAAAAGTTCCATACAGCCCTTAAAGCTTTGGCATGAATGAATCAGCATTCATCAGGCTATTTCTTTTGTGCATTTTGAAACTGGATGATGATAGCTTAAATATTAACATTCTTGTTTTTAACAGGTGTTAGATTTCCAATCATTGTTTAATAATAATTATGTGATATAGTAGATATTCTATTGGGTCTAGTCAGTTGAAACTGAGGCACAGTTAATTTTCCATTTATTTCACATTTCTACTCAAAGAATAATTAATTATTCCACGTTTTCCTCCTATCTACTTCATTCTTTTGTTCCATAATAGAAAATTAAAAAATTAAAAAACAATTTTAATTTTAAAAATGTGATCTAAATCATGTGTAAGCTGGATCAAGTGTGTCTGGCATGGAAGCAATTCATTATATGATTTGAGGGGTTTTAACAAGATGAGCTTCATTTGACCTGTCAAATTTAGGAATAGTTTTGACCAGCCCAAATAAAGTACATTTTCTAGATTTATCCCCTAGTAATCATTCTAAAACCCTTGTAAACACACCTTGTAAACACAGTTCTTTAGGCTGTATATCCAGTATATGTTGAAGAATTCATGTTTATGAAAATCTTAGAGCTTAATACCAATCTTGTGGAATTAATGGGAGAATTGCACACTGACTTTAATATTAATATTTTAATCTGGAAGTGCCTCTGTCCCTTCCTTACTATAGTTACTTAAGCCCTGAATTCATCAGAAGATTTAGGCATTCATGCATTTTTATACATGTTACTAGTTCCATTGAATATAAGGGGATTATTCAGTGGGTAGAGTTAAATATGCAGAAGTACTTACTACGAGTCAGACTCTGAAGTGGGAGTTCAAAAATGTCTGAAAGGCTTTTCTGTATGTAAAATAAGGTGGTACTGACTTTAATCTCAAATTCCAGGGCTAGCTGCCTGCGCTTGTACCTATTCTAATGTCTCTTCTCACTCACCAATGCTATAAAGCTCCCTTTTTTAGTTCTGCTCATTTTTTATGTATTGATGGTGGACTGTAGTAATTTACACAAATTCCTCCTGATTTTACTGTTGAATGCCTGGGCAAAGTATGAAGACATGGAAAGACAAATGACTTTGAAATATTTCTCACATCTGGTTTCTTTATCTGTAATTCAACAGTTGTGGTTTCCTACCAGTACAGCTGTCAAATCCATGTATCAAGTAAATTTTTTGTGTGAGAATTTTGGAGAAAAGAGTTTCTGGATACCTACCAGAATCCTTAAACCATCATAAACTTTTCATAAATAGCCAAAAAATGTTAGAATGTGGTTCAAGTCCGGTATAGTTGTAAGAGAACCAAACACTCATGATGGAGTAAATCAATGGCAGAGGATATGAGGGATTTTTTTAATTTTTTTTTTAACCACGATACAAATTTGTCACACTTTTGTATCTTTGTCATATGTGAAGCAAGATTTTCAATCCACATTAAAACCATGTATGCAGCCAATACAAGGCCCTTGCTTGGGAACAGGGAGTGCTTTCCCCACGATATTCAGGGCTAGAAAGTGTGAAACACTATGACATAAATCTTTTTGTACTAGAATAATTTGGTATTGTTCCTGGGGTTTTTTATATCTTTAAATATGAAGTGTAGTTATGTTTACCTTTTAACGTTCCAAAAGCCAGCAAACTCTTCCTTTGGTGAGTGCAAATCAACAAAAGCTGGCAACATCCTGAAAGACAGCTTTCTGTTGTGAGCTGCTGTAGAGATTTACGCTGCTCATTTGCAGTGGGAAGTAGGAAGGTTGGTTGGTTATTCAGAGCTTGTATGTGCCACTTTGTTTTTGCTGCTGCCTTTTTTAGCCTATGTGTTTATGTTAGCATAGCTCTGGACCATTTAATACTTTTCTTGGATTTTTGAGAGCTCTGCTGCTGGCAATTAATTTTGCATCCCACATATCTCAAGAAAACATTGTTGTCAGTGAATTTGTAAATTAGCTTGTGTTCCTTTTAATACCATAATTACTTTAGTGTCCCAGCTGACAGAATCTCAAAAGAATTTTACTGACTTTTGAGAGATTCACTCTTTCCAGCTTATGCCATTCTCTAATTTCCTAGAGTAATGATTCCCTAGATGTTTGTCAGTCTGGGTTTTGTACCCTTGCTTCCTGAGCTTCTCTTGCCAATTTTGTGTTGTCTCTGCTCTCATGCCAGTTTCAACAATTTCTTTAAAAGTTACAAATAATGAAGACAATCTCTTAAAAAAACTAACAAACCCACAAGCAAACAAAAAAATCAACCCAAAAACTTACGTTGTTATCATGGCACAGCACCACTTGCTGACTCAGTGGGTAGCACACCAGGCTGAGGATCCAGCAGTATGGCTGGAATACATCATTATGTCTCAGTAATACGCTGCCTCACTTGTCCTACTCTTATCTTGTTAACTCTTTGGGGCAGGGACTACACGCACAGGGTCTCTGTCCTCCCTGGTAGTCACATGGTACCAGGGATAAACATAATTAATTGCAAATGGGAGGTGACTTCAGGAGTTATAGTTGAAAGCTATTACCATGGAATAAATTCCTGATTTAAAATAAATGCATATTCTGTAAGAGACTGCATCTGGATTATTATCTTCAGAAATGGTACTGTGGAAAAGGAAGAAAATCATTGTTTAACATACAGTGCCATCTACAGAGCAGGCTATGTAACCTGCACTTCTTACATTATATGGGGTTTTTGGTTGGATTGGTTTTTTGGGTTTTTTCTTTTTTTTTTTTTTTTTTTGTCACAGTCCAGTTGTCATTAATGGCTAGAGAGTGTCCGTGGAGTTTTTGTCATATGCTGGCAGCATTGGAGGATGAGGATGAGAGAGGTTTGTGCTCTTGTCTGTTTTGGTCATAACCAGCAATATCCATGGGCCAGGCATCAGCAACAATAGCCCCTCTTAACTTTCTCTCAGAAGCCTATATTGTTGGGGCAGGGGGGGTTGTCTTTTTTAAAATGCAACTATTTCTAGAAATGCTGCATCTGCAGCCAACCTTCCTGGCCATCACGTGACCTACCACAGCAGTCTGACAGGCAGAGGTGGAAAAAGGAGGAAAGGGGCCAGAGAGGAAAAAGTCCATCTGTGATCATGTTGTGTGAACATGAGTATGTTAAGGCACCTTGTCAACTGTACTCTCTGTTTAGCGTAATTTTAAATGTGGGGTCAAGGGCAGTGGGTCTTCCCATGTTGTTACCCAAGCAGATGCTGTAGAGAAAGCTGTCAAGCAGTGGTAGTATGTTTGCATGGTTCACTGGTTAAAATGACAGTGCAAGAAGAGTTGGATTAAACTCTCAAAGTCTTCAGAGTGATCTTCAGATAAATGTTAATTTTGATACATAAAACTGGATTTATTTTTAAAGACAGAAGAAGTGAAAGAACACTGAAGTATTACACCTTCCGCTCTCGGGAATCCATTATTTACCTAACATAGCAAATTAAGTTATTGTGGTCACTGCTGAAAAAACTGTTGTCTGTCCTCTTTTGGCTCCTGAACATGGCAAGTTATCTGATCTTTAACCTGTTACTAGCTCAGGACCCTTTTTTTTGCCACCTCCAAATTAGTGAGTTTGAAAAACAGAAATGGCAAGGGAGGGCTGAGAATGGATTCTGACATGCAGAGCTCAGACAAAATAATTTTTTGGCAGATGATCTTGCACAGCTGAAGAGGGAGAGGGAAAAAGAGAAAGGTCTTTGTTTTCTTACATAGTTACATGTGAAATTCAGTGAATTTAAAGTAGCAGCAGAGATGTACTGGGAGTCTGAGTTTCTGAGACAGCTGAAGTTGCACGTTAAATAGAGTTTATGAGACTAGTCTGCCATTTGTCACCTGCACTGTCACAGTCAGCACGTGTGACTGTGTAGGTGAATGGGGGTGTATGCAAATAATAATTCATTTTATTTAATATACATTAAAACTGAAAAGGGATAGAAATATGAGTTAGCAGAGTGCTACAAAATGTGAAGTTAATTATGTAGTAGTTATCCTCAACATTTTCATCTTTAAAGCGGTTTTGAACTGCATAAGTGCAGCAGTTACTACAGACTGTGATTAGATAAACAGATGCAAATAGTAATTGTAACTGATAAATGATTGATGATGGCTTTATATGTTTATCATTATATACTGTTGTAAACACTTTTTACTCAGTGAGGATGGAGTCTGGAGGAAAATTGATGATGGGTGAAATATGAATTCAAATTATAGTGCTTTTAAGAGTACTGAGGGCCAATATTGTAGGGCCAGTACAGAGTTGTTACCTGAGGAACTGGTGCCCTTTGCCATTGGTATCATCGGGCTGAGCACCAAACATCTGCCAGCTGACATCCAGAGCCTGGATACAAGGTTTACAGGAGAGAGCCTAAAAGTAGAGATGGGGAGGCTGAGCACTGTTGAATGATGGCTTTTGGTGTGGAAGACCCCCTGATCCCCTGCTCAAAAGAAGAGGAGATGCCATTTCTCTTTGTTTTTCTATTACTTCCCATGGCTTCTGCCTTCTTTCACAACTTCCCACTGTCCTGTCTCCTGTGAATCAATGAGACATTTGTAATGCATTTATTTGACAGCCACAGAGTGACTGTGTTACCCAAGTTGTAGGAGCCATTTGGGACAGAACAGCTGTGTTTGGATCACTGGAAGTTGATGGGTACAAGGAGACAAATATACATGTCTCTAGAAAAACAGGGTGGGATAAGAGGTTTATGCACTCTTAATGGTGCTATAATTCTATTTGGTTTATCACCTGCCATTTGCTAATTATTAATCACAGTAACAACATTTTTTAGTTACATCAATTGAAAGGGAATTTTATTGCAGCAGCTTGAGTTTAATATCAGCTCTTTGTGTATTGTACAATGCAAAAAGTAACCTGTGGTAATTAAATTACAGGCTAAGTCTTCAGTCTGCATAAATTTCTATTCACTGAGGAAAAAAATAAGCAGGATATTACTAAAGAAAAGGCCCAAATCATTAGCAGCCTCTACTCCCTGCTCTGTTCACTTCACTGGCAGTGCTGAAATCTGTCTGTTACTTCTCCTGTGGTGTTGTAGAACAATGAACTTGCCATCTTTTCTGTCATGTGCCTGCCCTTGGGCTTGTACAAAAGAAGGGAATTAGGTTGTGTTCTGTTGACCTTTTAGATGCAAGAGAAATGGTAGTCCTGTTTCCTTACACATGAAATGCTGCCAGGCTGTTGTCTGTGTTAACCTTTGTGGAGCACCCCGATGTGATCGTTGCCCTAGCACCACGACACAGATGTCAGAGAGAACTGAAAAGGGATAAATTGGAGGTGCCATGCAAAACAGCTCAGCTAAAGACATTTTTCTCCTGCACTGAAGAAAAGGTATTCTGTATTTAACTACTTAGCTGCTCTGTGAATCCTGTAATTTGCTTAGCCAAACAGAACTTCAAAACAGATGGTTTCTAAATTTGGGGAAAATAACCATTACAGTATTTTTTCCCCATGCAGTCTGCAGTTATACTTTAGTACTGAAATTATTTGAAAATTAAACAGGAAAATAAAATTTGGATCTTTACCAACTGAATACTAATTTCAGGAACATACAGTTTTTAGTATGTATTAGGTTTTCATCTGCACATTTAGCCTAAGATTTGTTTATGCTCTAATTTAGTGCCTCTTGCTGCTTACTTGCATAAACACTACCAAATCAGTCAGTTGGAGTCACCAGAGTATTTAGCTCCCAGCTGCATTTGCTCATAAAAGGAGGAATGACAAGTTTCCTCCTTTGCAGAGGAGGAAGTGGAGAAACATAAGTAATTCATTGCACTTACATAGCACCTGCCACCAGCCACCTCTACAGGCACTTTACCAATAGTGAGTGCACTGCCTGGTGTGGAAAGCAGTTCTTTGTGAGAAACTGCTCCATTCCCCACCTCTTGATTGAGGAAACTGAGGTGCAGAGCATTTTTCTCATCCAAAATTGTAAGCTAATCAGAAGGTAGGAATCTGAGTATCCTTGGTTTTGGGATTATTTTCTTAACATGATAGAAATAAATTATGACAAAGGAATTAATTCTTTCATATTTAGGGGTTTTTAAATGTATTTGTAATATTATTGCACATAGTCAATATTTTCAAAGTGTATCTAAGAAAATCATATTTAGGAACTCTGCCTTTCTTTTAGAATATATGGTCAGCTGTTGTTCATTTTGTGAATGTCCATCCCTGAACATAAAGAGGGTGTCTAGACGTAAAAATTGAGCTCAAATTGGTTTGCTGAAAAGCCAAACATAGTATTTGGTCTCCACTTCAACAGTGCTTTAACCATTAGTTACCAGGGTGAGAGCACCAGCATATTCTCAGGTAGCCTTTTGGATAACTCATTACCCAAGAGCAGAAATTATCTTGGGCTGGGGAATCCTAAAGGGAAATTAAGGTCCATGATCCATGTGGTTCAAGTCTTTGCTCCTTCAAGGAGGCATGCTGTGTGATGCCCAACCATACTTCACTGCACAAGGCTCAGCTGGGTTTGGAAAGCACTGCCACAGAATACTGTGAACCACAGCAAACAGTGACATAGTCTCCACTTCAAGAAATCCCTAAGCTGCAAGATTTTTGAGGAAGGGTGTGCTGAGAATAATACTGCTCCATATTGCCTGGTCTTTTAAAATTCTTTCCTAAATACCTCTTATGGACCATTGCCTGAGGGTCCTGTGTCAGTGTCCTAGCAAGATAAATCCTTGGGATGACAACAGTGCCTGCTTTTGTGGTTTTTTGAACTGTAGAGCCCTCCTGAGAGCACAAATATGTTCTTCCATATGGGCTTCTCTCCAAACTGTTTTGTCCTCTACCCAGATTAGGGATTTTGCTTTTAAATTGAAATTATCCTTTCTTAGACAGAGGACTAGAATTATATGCCCTTTATCAGAGAGTATTCCCTTGTACAATATACCACCTGTACTGTGGCAATAATATGTGTTTATCTCTGCTGAAAACATCCAGCCAGCTACCATCTCTAGGTCTTTTTTTGCTAGAGATGCTGTAAAATACAGCCTTCGATTGCTTGCTAAATTGTGAGTCTGCCTCGACATTGTAATGGGCTCTGGCTACAAGGGTTTCAGAGTAGGACTTTTCTCCTTTACTTGAGAACCTGCTTTCTAGTTGGGCTTTCTAAAGGTGGTATTGTAGATCTGCAGGCACCAGTGGAAGTGGGTTTATGGAAGCGTGGATTCTCAAGCAGAGAACAAGATTACTTCCCTTCATACACTCTCCTGAATGTTCAGACTCTTTAAGAAGGGAAAATGTTTGGATTCCTTTGGTTGGTTTTGTTTGGTTGGGCTTTTTTTAAACTGGTGCAGTTGTTGCTTC